TACCCTAACAAATGCGTTAATGACTTACAAAGAGATGATTGTCAGAGAATTTTCTCCAAATGCACAATAATTCCAGTACTGAATTTTATGTGTTGGAGGCACAGGAAAAATGTTCCTCTCAAGTATCCCATGCAACAGTCAAAAACTGGACAAATAGCTACAAACGACATTTATAATAAATATATTTGAGATGATAGATGCAATGGGAAGGAATGTTGATAATTTTACCTGACAATTAAACTGTCATAATACATATGCATACGTATCAACATGAAATGTGTTCATAGGTACACTTTGTCATCCGCGACAAATATGCGCCGGTGTGTGTTAATAAATATCAAAGTGGACGGACATCAGAGGGAATATAAATAGAGCAAATGAATTATAAAATAGGGCCGTGATTGAAACATCACGCTGCGCTGTGGGCTATCAAAGTAAAATAATCAAGGATTATCATTGTTTGCAGATGTCAGGAGGACACAGGGGTTGAGTCGTGACGCGTAGTGACGATGACGTCCATGTGGGGTGCCAAATAAAACGGGCGGACGAAGGGTGGGGGGGGTGAAAATATCGCGACGGATCGAATGGGAAAAACACACCGAGCACGAGTGACATGTATACGCGCGCGGGAGTATTCCGATTAGGGGTGGGAGGTTAGAAGGGAGGAATGTCGCGTTTTTTTTACGACTGTTTTAAAATTTCATCAGGTAGATGCAATACCAAACTACGAAATTTAATAACAATGCCATTAACGGTAAAACATTAACGACTATTACAAATTATCATGAGAATTAAGTCGTTATGTAAATATCAGCATCTATATTGTATTAGTGCTGAAAGCTTCACAAAAATTATTCCAAAAAAGTCGTGTCTAACTGGGTATAATTTGTGAATGCTTACTATGAATATCGAACTATTGTTCGCAACTACAACTTTCGAAGAATTATTACCTATTACAATGGATTTCGGCTATAACGACGACGAAGCGACCACTGTAATTTCGTCGTTATATCTGTGTGGATGTAAACAAAAGATACGAAAGCTCTTTGTGTTTTTGGTGGTCGACTCTGGTCGTTGTATTTGCATAGGATTACTAGGGATTTGTTACAAACGATTCATTAAAAACAGTCGCTACACCCGAACTCGGCGTTACATCCGAAGCCGCTATAGCTGCATGAATTTTGTACTAAAGTATGCTTTAAATTCAAGGGACTTAATGTCGCTATAGAAAAATGGTCGTAATAAATGAAATCCACTGTGCCTATCTCATAAAAAGTTATTATTTTCAATTCATCATCATCACCAGGTCGTTAGTCTGAAGGCTGCTTGGACAGGCACCTCCATTCCTTGCTATCCAATCCATTATCCCTAATAACTATTTGTGAATATACTATAGGTCTTCCGCAGCCCTTCTTTACTCCTGTTTGTACTTCTGATATGTTTCTACCTACCCTTTCATGTTTCAGATAGTATCCTACTATCCTGTATATTCTTTTCCAAATTTGATAGTTTTCTGTTTGTTTATAACCAATTTACGCTTTAACTACTCAACCAATTATCATGAAATTTTCTACATATTGTCAGGGGTACAGAAAAGAGCATAGGGTTCCTTTTTTCCTACAGTCTTTCAGCGTCTTTGAGAGCGTCTCTCACAGTCTTTCACAGTCTCTCAGTTATTGCCTAGGTGTTTTTATGAATCACTCACAGTCTCTGTATGAGACTCCAACGATAAAATTGTTAATTCTGAGATTCGAGTCTCTCACAGAGAGACTGAATGAATAAAACTGAAAAATTAAGTGACTCGAGTCTCTTGTAGAAAGACTGGGATGTCTGAAATATGTTGAACTTTTTTTTTAACCATGTCTATCGAGACACCACTTATTAAGAGATTCGAGTTTTTTTTTTAGAGATTCGAGTCTCTCGTTCAGAGATTCGAGTCTCTCGTTCAGAGACTGGATACGAAATGAGGATCTCTCTATGAGCGACTCGAGTCTCTCGTTCAGAGACGCTAAACAGAGGCGGAGACTCGAGTCTCGCTTTCAGAGACTCTAAGAGACTGAATATTTTTATCTTTGGCTGTAATAGCTTTATTATTGTATAAACACTAGTAGCAAACATAGAGGTCATTCATATACTTCACACATTCGCTAATTTATCCATTTTCGCTCGGCGACTTGAACAAAAAAAAAATGCCAACAAAGAAATGTTAAAGTAATTTCAATGTTCGGTGATCGTTTTGCCTTGCCTGTATCGGCGTATAATTTCCGTACCTTTTGTAAACGCGTCCCTTTGTTTATCCAATGTCAAACAATCGAATATTCAATTAAGTATTATGTGCGTACTGTGCATGCGTATATCGTGGGCTCCTGAAAGTGCAGTTGTTACAACAGATCGGGACGCGACATGTGCACAAAAAGTTGCTCTTTTTGCGGCGACATACGGTCAAACGGGGCGATCGCGAAATACCACCCCAATTTAGAGGGCGCACTCGTTTTACTCGATGTATACCGTCAAAGGTGCATGGGCGCCCATTGTCGACTTTACTAGCACATGCTTGTAAAGCAAGTACCTATCTATTGCACACTAGGTGGGGTTTGGACAATTCTATTGACAGGTTGTCAATTGATTCTTTTATCGATAATTTTCTGCATAATATAATATAAAATTGAAGCGCTTTATAATTTACTAGTTGTGCCCGCGGCTTCGTCTGGTCGGAATTCAATTTGTAACTGCAAGAGTCATCTTATATCAATTTGTCAATTAACCTTGCGGACTTTTCTACAGGTCTTTTTAAGCTTTGCATGTCTTCATTCTGACAGACTTTTGATTAAATGCCACCCTCATCAACATCCCAAACAACATTAAGTTTCATTCAAAAAGTCGTTTAAACACTAAACCAATGAAATAAACACTAAAAATCGGCTGGATCCTAAAAAATGCAACGTGTAATTATACAACACGCTACTGAAGTGAAACTTCTTCAAACACACAAACATACCGGGATAGGGGTTAAGGAATTGGTTTAATGGTATTATTTGTACACTATGTTTCGCACGGGTGCAATGCTGATAGTAAATATACCATAGAATGTTTTTATATACAACAATCACAGCTTTTTTTGTCATTAGACAATACAAACCGGCCGGTACCGCCGCAACCGCTATGTCCCTGCATTTTAAGTCTGTAATATCTTCGAAAATATTCATTTAAATTACATGCTGTAAAGGGCCATATTGATCTATATTAAATGCACAATGTATTTAAAAGTACTTAATTGGATAAGGATTAATGCTGTATTGCTTAAAATCGCTTCGTAAATAAGCCATTATTTCTCGTAAAAAGTAAAGGACAAAAAATGGTTATTGTGGGTTATTCCTAACAGATAGACATATATCATCGCTGACTTTTTTGTAGACCTTTTTAAGGTGTAAAATATTGTAGTACATTATTTTGATCTATCTCGTAGGGTTTAGCAACCGTTTGCAATGTAAGCGCAAAAAAATGTGTTTATTTACTACATCACATTACAATCCTCTAAAATCAGTGTTTCTCTACTATATTATACATGTATTATACATACAAACTTTCCTCTTGAATTACTCTACCTATTAAAAAAAGCCGCATTAAAATCCGCTGGGTAGTTTTAAAGATCTAAGCATACATAGGGACAGACAGCGGGGGAAATGCGTTGCATGATTTCGTTACATGGTAACTCGCATGAAACGAACTTACCCTACCGTTCGTAAAGAAGTTTCACTTCAAAAAAGTGTCGGATTCAATCTGTGTATCCGGCACATCTCTAGTCTAGAACTCTAGTACTCTTAGATTATCTACATATAGATGAAAACTAGTAAAAAAAAAANTGGTCGTAATAAATGAAATCCACTGTGCCTATCTCATAAAAAGTTATTATTTTCAATTCATCATCATCACCAGGTCGTTAGTCTGAAGGCTGCTTGGACAGGCACCTCCATTCCTTGCTATCCAATCCAATATCCCTAATAACTATTTGTGAATATTGTACAAATGGGGCAAAGTATTAGCATGAATGTGAGGAGGAGTTTTTCCCATCGTTGCATTAGCGTGATGGATATACGTACTATAGTCGGATTCGGCAGCCCCATGCCGTCCGTCCGTCCGTTCCGACCACCCTTTAGTTCGGTCGAAAGCATCGTTTCTTTTGTTTTTTTCCCCTTTCACGGAAACGTAGCGAACGTAGTGAAATATGAGGATTGTCCGCAAACCGTCGGAAGAATTCTTTTACGCCACCCTTTTCCTGAAACGCATTGTCTCGCAACCGTCTGCAGCTTAATAAATCGAATTGCGCCGTTATCATTACAGTCGTCATCGACAAAGTACCTATATGTACAATATATATATATACGAATATGGTCAAAGATGACAGTGTTTTCGATAACTATAAAAAATTGTAGTTATAGTCAAATAAATTATGTACTACGCTCCTTAGAAAGTGCACTTTTTTCTCCTACAATAGATAATACAATGAATAAATTTTGTCTATAACGAAACAACAGTTCTGGCAGTTTCTTCATCATTGTCATCATAAGACTAGTTGGACACGCACCTTCACTCTTTCCTATCCTGAGCTAATCTTCGCATTTCCCTAAAACTAGAACATCCCATGACATCCTTAAATATTTGTGAACAGTAATCTAATCTAGGTCTACCTCTACTCCTCCTAACTCTTGTTTCTGCCTCTAATATATCCCTGACTAGACCTTTTTACCTGAGAAGATGTCTTACCAATCTATCTCTCCTATTTCTTATTGACTTCCATATTCTTTCCAATACTTCTTTATTTCTAACCTTCTAAATCCACGGTATCTTCATCATTAGCCTGTAACACCACATTTCTAACGCTTCTAACCTTTTCTTTCTAGCTGCGGCCACTGTCCATGTTTCGCATCCGTACAGCGCCGTACTCCAAACATACACCTTTAACAATCTTTTTCGAATTTCTAAATTAACNTATTCACGAGGATCGCAAAAAGAGGCAAGAAGAAAAGGCTGCCAAAGAGGCTGCTGTTGAAGAAAGGCGTAGGGCCTTGGAAAAAGAACGGTTGGAAAGGTTGGATCGTCTGCAAGATGAAAGGAGACAGAGAGATGAAAGGCAGTTGCAACAGCAGCAGCAACGAGAAAAAGAACGACAAGAACTTGCAAGGGAAAAAGCCAGAGATCGAGAGGTACAAACTAATTATTTGTGCAACTCCGTTACTTATGTCCCACCTATAAGTGAAAAAGAATAATTAATAAAATGCAAAAAATTATTATAGGAACGACTTCAAGCTCTTCAGGCTCAACAGATCGCCTCTACAAAAGAACTTCAAAAACGTATAGAGCAAAAACAAGAAGAATCAGCCAGAAGACACGAAGAAAACATGGAGCAAATAAGGCAGAAAGCACTAGAATTGTCAATCCACAGATGTCACAGTGATGATAGCCAAGCACCAAATAACACATTATATCCAACGAAAAAGTTCTGCACTGTCTGTAACGTTTTGGTAAGAGTATAAATTACGCGTCCCCTTAAAAAGCCTACAACAAAATTTTATTTTAGATAAAATCCGAGGTATATTTAATGAGCCATCTCCGGGGTCGTATGCACCAAGAAGCTGTAAAGCAAGCGAACGTAGAAAAGCCCCAAATGACACCAAATGATGTTGAACAATTCAATCTAAAACAAATCGTAGATGCTCCGGCCGATAAAATAGATCCTAAAGACACTGCAGCCAAAGAACGTGGCAAAGCTTATCGAAAACGATGTAAAAAGATTCGACAGCGCATGAGTGTAAAAGGGGCCGAATTCGAAACGTCTTACAAACCACCTGTGATAGAATGTTCTAATAAACGTACGTTAAATAGAAACGTGAACACAATTGGTAGTATAACAAATCAGGCGAATCAGGGATGGTCCCCATCCACTTCTAGTCAATTGGATAGAATTTTAAATGAACTAAATAGAATTCTGACGAAAGGAGAGAACAATGACATCGTGGTATTTCAAGCTGTTGGAGGGTTTTCGGTTTTGGCGAAATTATTGTCTTTAGGACAAGATGTGCGGACACCAATCTCAGCAAAGTAAGTTTAATTACCATTCTTTCCTTCCTACAGGGAACTTTTAATTTAATTAATGAAAATTGGAATAAACAATGTGATAATTAATACTCACAATTTTATCATAAAATTGGAATACTGTCTGTGGACGATAGAATCAATTCATCGGTTTTTTTTTTAATTGAATTTTTCAGAGTACAAGGGAATTTTTTGTATACATAAATATTGCCCATGTTATTTGAATTTTGTTACCTCGTAGGTGTTGTTACAGAAGCATGATAATAGCCTGCAACGTTTGGCAAGGTGCATGTAAAGGTGAAAAAGGGGGCAGAAGCAACTGTGAATATGTCGTTCTTTCCAACAAAATTATTGCAGCCCTTGATCTGCTCAACACCAAATTACAAGTAAGTCTCTTTTTTTTTAACGTTTATTAAAACGTGTATGTTTCTTCATTTGCAAAACCCATAGGGAGAGGGTGATTAAATTTTGAACGACCATTCGGGTATTTATTTTTAAAATGATTTTACTCAAAATATTATGTGAAACTTTTTCAAAGATTTATGTATTTTGCATATATACTTTTCATTCGGCACCAATCGCGATCATTATTTTCACGAAAATGCGTGTATGTGTTAGTCAAGCACATGTGAACGGTGTGGCCAGTCGTTCCGCACTCTTAATGAACGTAGATTGCTGATACCTTTAATTTAATGTTATGATATATGCGATCTAAGCAGACACTTCTTACTAATTGCTATATTTTAATACGTTTTAAATATGATTTTATATTACTCTGCCACAAAATATAACATTGGTATTTTGTTTTTAACAAATAAAGAAGTTTGATATATTAAAAGTATTTTGCGTTAATTTGAAGTCTGCTAAACTTTTTCACGACAGAGCCATCTAACCACTTAGATTGAATACAGGTTTTTCGTAGGTACAGAAAATATCGTATGTGCCTAGTAGTGTTAAGGTAGCGCTCACCAGATTGCTGTACTATGTTCTTCGTGTAATTTAAAAAACTTTTTTACTGAAATTCAAGAAGAATAACGACATCGACGGACAACACTTCAATTTTTTTATGAAGGTGTATATATTTCATTTTCACTTGCGGTCACTTTTTAATTAAAAAATCGGGATTAAGAATCGTTCTTAAAATTTACAGAAACTTTTGTAAATTAATAAAGAATGTATGGTCATGTTTCCTTCAAATTCTTTTTGTCACACCACTTTGAAAAAAATCTTGTAATATCTTAAGACAGTATAGTGATCATAATTTATTTATTTAAGATCTCTGTAACTAGTTTCCTCCTATTTAGCAAGGATTTTTCTTAATATAAATGTCGGGCTTTGTCATTAATCTGTTATATTTTCTCCTTGAGAAAAAGCTTCCTAGACGTTAAACTTCTTAATCATATAAAGAAAACAACATTGGATAAAACGTTCGCAGGACGTTGGTTTGATTGGAATCTTAGAACAAAAAATAGAATTATTTGCGAACACTAATTTGATCTAGGTCTACTTCTACCACTTCTAACTCCTATTTCTGCCTCTGATGTGTCTCTGACTAGACCTTCATGCCTGAGAAGATGTCCTACCAACCTATTTCGCCTATTTATTATAGACTTCCATAAAGTCCTTTGTTCTCCTATTCTTTTTAAAACCTCGTTTCTCATTTCTAACCTTCCCTATTCACGGAATCCTCATCATTCGCCTGTAAGACCACATTTCGAAGGCTTCTAAACTTTTCTTTTCCGCCCCGCCAACCGTCCATGTTTCGCACCCGTACAGCGCCGTGCTCCAAACAACTTTAACAATCTTTTTCGAATTTCTAAATTATCCGTTCGCGAGCATAGAAGTGACTTTATTTTATTGAAAGCGACTCGACCCTGCGCTATCCTCTGCTTTATATCCCTACTGCTCCTTCCGTCCTGACTTATCTGACTTCCTATTAGNACTCCTTCCGTCCTGACTTATCTGACTTCTTATAACTAAAATCAGCCACTTCTAATTTTTCGTCTCCTATCTTTATATTCGCTCTTTCTCTACTTTTTCTTCCCTTGCATACCAATATTTTTGTTTTACTTTTATTTATTTTCATACAATACTGTTTTGTCAATACCGCTTCCATTATATCTATATGTATACGCTGTATCCTTAAATTCAACAGTTTTTGAAATATTTCCAAATTAAGGAAAAATCTGGTAGTCCTGAAGTATATTAAAAAATTATTAAATTTGTTAAAAATAGCTTTGTAATTTAGACCGAAAGACAGTGGCGGCTCGTTCATAATTAGGTGAAGACTGAGGTCTTCAGTCCGATGACTAGTTAGAAATACCACTTCAAAAATATTTTTTCAGTATGGAAACTAATTTTGTTAATGCGTTACAATTCAACGACTTAAAAAATTTTGTACCAACATTTCGTGTGCATTTTAAATTTGGGGCCAAGAGATTTGACGAAAATATTATAATAGCCTTAGATTGAAGAGTTAAATTCACTGTCGCCAACAATTCAACAAAATTCACAACTTATAAACAAAATCGAAAAATTGAACTATTTTTTAAAATTTTGCCATACTGCGAACTCAAAGCTGTGCTGAAACTTGACATCAAGGACAAAATCAAAAAGTCTTGAAAAAAAATGAAGTCGTATTGAGCAGCTACGTTCTCCAAATTGTACTTGAAATATGATTAATACTTGACTTGAACTTAACATAATTTCAAGTCGACATCAAGTCAAAAAATTATATAGAAATATTACGTCATCTAAGATATTTCCGGAACATCATATGTTTCTAATATCGAATGTGCATTACTTCAGAATTTTAGAGATTTTTCAGAATATAGATTTGTAAACTATTGTTTCCTTTTACTGTATTTTCTTACATAAACTACAGTACAAGGCGATGAATAAGATATTTTCCTTTCTACTGGAGATATTTCCGGAACATCATATGTTTCTAATAGAGGTATCTATCGAATGTGCATTACTTCAGAATTTTAGAGATTTTTCAGAATATAGATTTGTAAAATATTGTTTCCTTTTACTGTATTTTTTTGCATAAACTACAGTACAAGGTGATGAATAAGATATTTTCCTTTCTACTGGAGGTAGTATGTACCTACATTTTTAATCGGATGCTTTCTGAGCGGTGTTTTCTTTATCTTTTCATTTTGATGCATACAAAATATCTAGTCGCTGGTTACATTTCAAGTTTTTGATAACGCGGTCGCCGAATGTTGTTTTGTTGTCTTTCCTTTTTTTTTTCTTCGGATCACCTTTTGTCCGTGTCATCTTCCGTTTTTTTTCCTCTCGTTAGTCGTATGTTCGTGGCCCCGGTTGTCTTTGATTAATATTCAGGCCATTGTCGTCCTTCTCCATTGCCTACCTACCGAAATTGATTCTGAGAAGCTCTCCGAGCTGTCGGCCCGCGAAGCCGATCATATTTTGTTTATCTTCAATAAAAAATGGCCGAACATCAGAAACGTATTGTGTGTTCTTTGATAAGTGCGCACACGTTGACCGATAGTGCGCTGTTAATCCGGCCATAGTAGACTACGATATTTTGGAATTTCTCGATGAGACTACGTTTGTTTTCGTTGTTTTTATGGTATAAAATTTGTGTTAATTTAATACACATCGTAGCTTCGTATAACTCCCGTATAACAACAAAAATTTTATTTTTAATCGACTTAATGACCAGAAAAAATTAATGCCATTGTCTAATTTGCAATCGTTCCTAAAAGAAAAACAGATAAAAGAAGATGTATTTTTAATTTTCGTTATCTCTTAACGGAGAAAAGGGTATAAGACCACTTTTCCAGGTTGGTAACAAAAAGGTACCTAAGTTTTAGTTTTTCTTTTATTGGATGTCCGTATCATAAAATTAAATTTTTGATGTTTTTTGAAGAATATAAAAACTAAATTCATTTTTAAGGGTCGCGTGGTGAATAAGTTCATTAGTACAACTCACTATTGACGTTGGATCACAGAAAGAAGAAAACCAATTTCAATCACAAAGTTTTTCAAAAATTTCATACTAGTTATTGCATGAGTTATTTGGATGACGTACTATTCAAAAAATAAAATTGTATTTTATTATCATCAAATTGCGTCTAGCCGACTAAAATTTTAGGATGCCATGAAGCTAGCCTGTTAGCCACATTGCCACGTTGAACCTCACGAAGCTACCTTATGTTTCATTCACGTATCACCCTAAATATGCTACATGTGGAAAAAAAAGTGCTAGCTGATAAATTTTAATATTAGGATCCACTAGCAGATAACCACGAGCTTGTGTAAGAAGCTTTCCTATATTTGATGTTTGCCTAACCGAACTCCCATAAGGCAGATGGTGGGATTGCCCACTTCACCGAGCGGCATGGGCTAGAGGTTTAGACCATTGCTTAGCATTCGGGAGGACGCCGGTTCGATTCCGGGTCCGTCTGCCTTGGTCCAAGTTTTTCTGTGGTTTCCTTGGATCACTTAGGCAAATGCTGAGGCAGTAATATTCCACAGATAATCTTTCACTCTCTTCTGTCTTCATTTCGTCCGTCTCATCTTTCTCACCCGAACCACCACCCACCCATTCCCACGATTCCTGAAAGCAGGCTGAAGAGGGCCTTCCTCCCTACCTTTCGGCGTAGTCCGGAGGGACTACCCGCCCGCCAGTATTACTGGCTGGTGGGAATGAAACACCCAAAAGTTTTTTTTTTGCCCACTTCTTTGAAAAGTTATAGGTGTCTGCATGCGTAATCTGCTGGTAAATCCTTCTGTCAGTATGACCTTCATTTGTTTCATGAAGCATGCTCCCTGTGGGAGTGCAGTATATATATTTTTCATATTCAATTTTTAAAAATGCATTCATTTCTGGCCCACCCTGCGTACAATTTTTTACACAATCTTTTAATTTTTCGATTAATACGTTGCCCATTTTAATATCTTAATATGTAGCAACAATACAATCTGGTGGAGAAATGTAAATTTTTGTGGTAAACGGTCCGGAAAAGTAAAATTGTACAAATGGGGCAAAGTATTAGCATGAATGTGAGGAGGAGTTTTTCCCATCGTTGCATTAGCGTGATGGATATACGTACTATAGTCGGATTCGGCAGCCCCATGCCGTCCGTCCGTCCGTTCCGACCACCCTTTAGTTCGGTCGAAAGCATCGTTTCTTTTGTTTTTTCCCCTTTCACGGAAACGTAGCGAACGTAGTGAAATATGAGGATTGTCCGCAAACCGTCGGAAGAATTCTTTTACGCCACCCTTTTCCTGAAACGCATTGTCTCGCAACCGTCTGCAGCTTAATAAATCGAATTGCGCCGTTATCATTACAGTCGTCATCGACAAAGTACCTATATGTACAATATATATATATACGAATATGGTCAAAGATGACAGTGTTTTCGATAACTATAAAAAATTGTAGTTATAGTCAAATAAATTATGTACTACGCTCCTTAGAAAGTGCACTTTTTTCTCCTACAATAGATAATACAATGAATAAATTTTGTCTATAACGAAACAACAGTTCTGGCAGTTTCTTCATCATTGTCATCATAAGACTAGTTGGACACGCACCTTCACTTTTTTTTATCCTGAGATAATCTTCGTATTTCCCTAAAACTAGAACAACCCACATCCTTAACTGTTTGCAAACAGTAATCTAATACAGGTCTACCTCTACTCCTCCTAACTCTTGTTTCTGATTCTAATATGTTTTTGACTAGACTTTCATGCCTGAGAAGGTGTCCTACCATCTATCTCACCTATTTTTTATTGACTTCCATAGAGTCCTCTGTTCTCCTATTCTTTCCAATACCTCTTCATTTCTAACCTTCTCTATCCACGGTATCCGCATAATTCGCCTGTAACATCACATTTCTAATGCTTCTAACCTTTCTCTTTCGAATTCCTAAATTAACCGTTCGCGAGCATAGAAGTGACTTTTTATTGAAGGCGACTCGACCCTGCGCTATCCTCCATTTTATATCTCTACTGTTACTTCCATCTTGAATTATCTGACTTCCTGGATACCGAAAATCAGCCATTTTTCGTCACCTATCATATTCGCTCTTTCTTTGCATACCAATATTTTGGTTTTACTTTTTTTTATTTATCTTCATACAATACTGTTTTGCCAATACCACTTCCATTTTATTTAAGTGTATCTTTAACTCTTCCTTGCTACATGCCAATACTGCTACGTCATCTAAAAATCTAAGCATATTTCTTGTCCTTTCTTTAATGATGTTTATGACGTCTTCTGCGCGTCTCCCTATGAGATTATTTTGTCATACTTACAAGGTGTTACAATATTCAAGAACTTTTTTTTTTTNATCATAAGGTCGCCAGTTTTAAGAATGGTCGGACACGTATCTCAACTCATTCCTATTCTGAGCTAATCTTCGTATTTCCCTAAAACTCGAACAACCCACATCCTTAACTATTTGCAAACAGTTATCTAATCTAGGTCTACCTCTACTCCTACTAACTCCCGTTTCTGGTTCTAATATGTTTTTGAGTAAACCTTCATGCCTGAGAAAGTGTCCTACCAACCTATCTCACCTATTTTTTATTGACTTCCATAGAGTCCTCTGTTCTCCTATTCTTTCTAATGCCTCTACATTTATAACCCTCTCTATCCATGGTATCCTCATCATTCGCCTGTAACATCACATTTCGAACGCTTTTAACCTAACCTTCTAATATGATTTTGACTAGACCTTCATGCCTGAGAAGATGTCCTACCAACCTATCGCACCTATTTCTTTTTGTAACACCAAATTTCGAACGCTTCTAACCTTTTCTTACCTACACCTTTTATACAATACTGTTTTGCCAATACCACTCCATTTTATTTAAGGGTATCTTTAACTCCTCCTTGCTACATGCCAATACTGCTACGTCATCTAAAAATCTAAGCATATTTCTTGTCCTTTCTTTAATGATGTTTATCACGTCTTCTGCGCGTCTCCCTATGAGATTATTTTGTCATACTTACAAGGTGTTACAATATTCAAGAACTTTTTTTTTTTTTAAGGGAGTTACTAACGTAGACGATACACCACCATCGGATGCCTTATCTACAGCCCTTCTTCAACTGATAACTGTGGTTTTAAGGAATGCACCCAAAGACATTCCGTCCAACCGAATGCAAGACGTGGTTAGGTAAGTTCTATTATATGTAAAATTTTTTTTGGTAAATTGCATTTCAACACCTTATTATATTTTTGTTAATTTGACAAAATTACTAGGTAAGTAGAATAAAAGATCTATATATTGATATTATTTCCTTGACAATTAACTGAGGGTGTACCATAACAAATGCGTTAATGACTTACAAAGAGATGATTGTCAGAGAATTTTCTCCAAATGCACAATAATTCCAGTACTGAATTTTATGTGTTGGAGGCACAGGAAAAATGTTCCTCTCAAGTATCCCATGCAACAGTCAAAAACTGGACAAATAGCTACAAACGACATTTATAATAAATATATTTGAGATGATAGATGCAATGGGAAGGAATGTTGATAATTTTACCTGACAATTAAACTGTCATAATACATATGCATACGTATCAACATGAAATGTGTTCATAGGTACACTTTGTCATCCGCGACAAATATGCGCCGGTGTGTGTTAATAAATATCAAAGTGGACGGACATCAGAGGGAATATAAATAGAGCAAATGAATTATAAAATAGGGCCGTGATTGAAACATCACGCTGCGCTGTGGGCTATCAAAGTAAAATAATCAAGGATTATCATTGTTTGCAGATGTCAGGAGGACACAGGGGTTGAGTCGTGACGCGTAGTGACGATGACGTCCATGTGGGGTGCCAAATAAAACGGGCGGACGAAGGGTGGGGGGGGTGAAAATATCGCGACGGATCGAATGGGAAAAACACACCGAGCACGAGTGACATGTATACGCGCGCGGGAGTATTCCGATTAGGGGTGGGAGGTTAGAAGGGAGGAATGTCGCGTTTTTTTTACGACTGTTTTAAAATTTCATCAGGTAGATGCAATACCAAACTACGAAATTTAATAACAATGCCATTAACGGTAAAACATTAACGACTATTACAAATTATCATGAGAATTAAGTCGTTATGTAAATATCAGCATCTATATTGTATTAGTGCTGAAAGCTTCACAAAAATTATTCCAAAAAAGTCGTGTCTAACTGGGTATAATTTGTGAATGCTTACTATGAATATCGAACTATTGTTCGCAACTACAACTTTCGAAGAATTATTACCTATTACAATGGATTTCGGCTATAACGACGACGAAGCGACCACTGTAATTTCGTCGTTATATCTGTGTGGATGTAAACAAAAGATACGAAAGCTCTTTGTGTCTTTGGCGGTCGACTCTGGTCGTTGTATTTGCATAGGATTACTAGGGATTTGTTACAAACGATTCATTAAAAACAGTCGCTACACCCGAACTCGGCGTTACATCCGAAGCCGCTATAGCTGCATGAATTTTGTACTAAAGTATGCTTTAAATTCAAGGGACTTAATGTCGCTATAGAAAAATGGTCGTAATAAATGAAATCCACTGTGCCTATCTCATAAAAAGTTATTATTTTCAATTCATCATCATCACCAGGTCGTTAGTCTGAAGGCTGCTTGGACAGGCACCTCCATTCCTTGCTATCCAATCCAATATCCCTAATAACTATTTGTGAATATACTATAGGTCTTCCGCAGCCCTTCTTTACTCCTGTTTGTACTTCTGATATGTTTCTACCTACCCTTTCATGTTTCAGATAGTATCCTACTATCCTGTATATTCTTTTCCAAATTTGATAGTTTTCTGTTTGTTTATAACCAATTTACGCTTTAACTACTCAACCAATTATCATGAAATTTTCTACATATTGTCAGGGGTACAGAAAAGAGCATAGGGTTCCTTTTTTCCTACAGTCTTTCAGCGTCTTTGAGAGCGTCTCTCACAGTCTTTCACAGTCTCTCAGTTATTGCCTAGGTGTTTTTATGAATCACTCACAGTCTCTGTATGAGACTCCAACGATAAAATTGTTAATTCTGAGATTCGAGTCTCTCACAGAGAGACTGAATGAATAAAACTGAAAAATTAAGTGACTCGAGTCTCTTGTAGAAAGACTGGGATGTCTGAAATATGTTGAACTTTTTTTTTAACCATGTCTATCGAGACACCACTTATTAAGAGATTCGAGTCTCTTTTTTAGAGATTCGAGTCTCTCGTTCAGAGATTCGAGTCTCTCGTTCAGAGACTGGATACGAAATGAGGATCTCTCTATGAGCGACTCGAGTCTCTCGTTCGGAGACTGGATACGAAATGAGGATCTCTCTATGAGCGACTCGAGTCTCTCGTTCAGAGACGCTAAACAGTTTTTTTGATAGTCTCTCTCAGCAACACCAGAGAGACTCGATGAGAGGCGGAGACTCGAGTCTCGCTTTCAGAGACTCTAAGAGACTGAATATTTTTATCTTTGGCTGTAATAGCTTTATTATTGTATAAACACTAGTAGCAAACATAGAGGTCATTCATATACTTCACACATTCGCTAATTTATCCATTTTCGCTCGGCGACTTGAACAAAAAAAAAATGCCAACAAAGAAATGTTAAAGTAATTTCAATGTTCGGTGATCGTTTTGCCTTGCCTGTATCGGCGTATAATTTCCGTACCTTTTGTAAACGCGTCCCTTTGTTTATCCAATGTCAAACAATCGAATATTCAATTAAGTATTATGTGCGTACTGTGCATGCGTATATCGTGGGCTCCTGAAAGTGCAGTTGTTACAACAGATCGGGACGCGACATGTGCACAAAAAGTTGCTCTTTTTGCGGCGACATACGGTCAAACGGGGCGATCGCGAAATACCACCCCAATTTAGAGGGCGCACTCGTTTTACTCGATGTATACCGTCAAAGGTGCATGGGCGCCCATTGTCGACTTTACTAGCACATGCTTGTAAAGCAAGTACCTATCTATTGCACACTAGGTGGGGTTTGGACAATTCTATTGACAGGTTGTCAATTGATTCTTTTATCGATAATTTTCTGCATAATATAATATAAAATTGAAGCGCTTTATAATTTACTAGTTGTGCCCGCGGCTTCGTCTGGTCGGAATTCAATTTGTAACTGCAAGAGTCATCTTATATCAATTTGTCAATTAACCTTGCGGACTTTTCTACAGGTCTTTTTAAGCTTTGCATGTCTTCATTCTGACAGACTTTTGATTAAATGCCACCCTCATCAACATCCCAAACAACATTAAGTTTCATTCAAAAAGTCGTTTAAACACTAAACCAATGAAATAAACACTAAAAATCGGCTGGATCCTAAAAAATGCAACGTGTAATTATACAACACGCTACTGAAGTGAAACTTCTTCAAACACACAAACATACCGGGATAGGGGTTAAGGAATTGGTTTAATGGTATTATTTGTACACTATGTTTCGCACGGGTGCAATGCTGATAGTAAATATACCATAGAATGTTTTTATATACAACAATCACAGCTTTTTTTGTCATTAGACAATACAAACCGGCCGGTACCGCCGCAACCGCTATGTCCCTGNGACTGCTTTTAATTGAAAATACCTTAATATAATAAAAAAATCTTAATAAACACATAATGCAGGATAATTAAGGATAAATTAATAGCATAAGTGAGTTAATACATTGAAATTCTATAATGTGAAAATTAATTTTTAATTTTTATCAACTATAAACAACCTCAAGTTAATGTGAAAGATCATAGCTTAGTGGTCAGAGCATTGGTGCGTAAAGCCAAAGATCGGGTTCGATTCCCGGCGAGGGTGTGACAACAGCAAAAAATTTTCCTCATTAATTTGGCGTAATTTATAGTGGATAAAAATTAAAAATGAATTTGGCATATTTAAAAAGGAAAGAATAGAGTGAATTAAGGGAGAAAGAAAAGAAAGAAACGGAAGAGAGTCAAAGGCACATGAACGACTAGAATGAGAGAAATGTGTAAATAGGTGTAAGGAACAGTTAAAAACGGAAAGAAGTATCGGAAACGGTACTACATAGAGAAATTGTGATAGAAAAACTTGTGGAGGAGCAAGTATAGGAACCAAATAAGGGAATAAGGAGATTCGAATTGATAATCGATGCTATGTAATGTGGTTGGTTCGCGAACAGGGTTGGAGTGGTACGTGGGTAATTAGAAGTGAGAAAGTCGAGTATCCGACGCCACCTTCAAGTACAACGACGACAAGAATTGTCCTTCGTTCCAGTCGAGTGAAGAGAGGCGGAAGAGAGCTTTCCTTTTTATTTTTACAGACACAATTATATTAAATAATGATATTTTAATTTATATCAATAAATAATACATAGGGATAACTAACCTCAATTATATTGGAGCACTTAAAAAAGTATTTTAGCACAATTTTTTCACTAATATTCACAAATAGTAAATAATATTAATCCAAATATTCAATTTAAATCACTACTGAATATATTTTATTGCCACATATATAATTCGCACTTGTATGAAAATAAAACACGTGTTGTGACTGTAAAAACTAAAACCATGTGGATAAATATTATAAATAAATATGAAAACAGTGATCAGAGGCGACAAGCGTACCAACATGCGCGACTAAGAGAGGTATTATTTTTATTTCGTTGGTAGCTTTTTTCCGAGACATAATGAATTCGGTTGAGTGGGCAACTTCATCCTGTTAATTTTGTGTTACAGTGATGCGCGCGCATCTTGAAATTTCACTCTCATCAGTTTTTCATAACGCGCCTAAAGAAGTATAACTTCAAAAAGAACTCAAATTTTAACAAGTCAGTAGATGGCAGGTTGATCAAAAACTTCCACCCTTCCGAGAACATCCTGTGTACTACGGATGATCCCATTGTTATCTTTATTTTGTCCATCAATCAAGCCATATTAAACCCATGACCCACAAATGTTGTACAATGCTCCAATTCAAATACGATTATAAAGAGAAAATAATACGTACACTTCACGGTAGCGACATCAGAGAGTGACGTCGTTCTCTAGGGGGTCAGGACCACCACCGTCCGCTACCTTCACCGGCTAAATTTCGTCCGGCAGATGTGCAAAGATAAACCCCCAAAGATAAGGGCGTTAGTGCACACATACACGCACCGGCTTCGAATACGCGTAC